GACTACATGAAACAAACCAGTACGTTTATCGAGAGTGGGTAGAGGAATCACTCTGTATAAAGTATACATTTCGGGCTCTAATAACGGGATGCGTAGAACGAATACTACTCTTGTTTTAGTTTGATATGCTTCGAGTTCCCTAAGATTAAGAAGGTACTCTGACACTGTTGCTAAATTAACCGGAAGGGGTAAATTATTTCTCGACAAAGTGTGAGAAATTTCTTGAAGAGAATTTACTAAGTCTTGAGGAGTGATAATAGAAGGATGTATTATTTTTAAACGTGCAAAAGTAATTGAATTTAGAATATCATTATTGTCTCTTCCAGAAACATGTAGCTTTCCATTAATTGTTCGCAAACTTCTAAAAATTGGAATTTAGCTTCATAAAATGCAAGATCGTCTGAAATTTCATAAATTTTGTTTTCAATGACCTAATATCTTCATTAAACGTAGTTTCATCAATCATAAGTTTTTGAATAGTGTTATTAAACTTCTTGATAACCGACATGGTAACAGAAATTTGGTTCTTCATGAGGTTTTCGAGCTCATGTTCATCTTTAGAAATTTTGTTAATACAATCGTTATAGTATTCACCGTCCGATGAATCGAGGTTGCCGGTTATTGCTTTCCATACAGTACCTATAGCGTTAATCATACCGCGTTTCATCCGCGATGCGCTTACAGTGTCATCGAAGATCGCCTAATATTCAGATTCCAAGGAACGAGAAATTTGATAAAGGAGACTTGTATGAGTTTTAATTTCACCACTAAACATTTCATACGATTGGTGGGTTGTCTACGAGATATGATAAGTGTTCCAGAATATTGTTGTTATCGTCAAGTGCTTTCTTAATGAGTTCTAAGTCTTTATATACAAAGAGTGTCCAAATTTCGTTGGAAATCTTAAGAGGGGCGTCTTCATGAAAATAGATACCTAAGGTGTTGTTAAGCGGTTTGATGTCTATCTGGCTGTGACAGCCGCAAAAAACAGCAGACTGCACCTGAAAGAGAAACTAAGTCTCAAAACATGGTTTCAGTCTGTCAAAATTAACTTTACTTATTCTATTGTTTCCGGGTTCTTAAGGAGCGCAGAATTTTCAAAACTTGAGTAATTTCGAATGGACCATCAAATTTGTTCTGAAGCTTGTTGAAATTTGAGACTGTTTCACAAAGACTTTATCGCCAATTTTATATGATTGTAAATTGGGTGACACTCTACGATCAAAGCGAATTTTTGCTTTTTGCTTCTGTTCGTCAGTTGTCACGCGGGCAATTTTGTAGTAATATTCGAGTTTATTCCGAATGTCTCGAACATACTTGGACATCAATTCTTTTTCTAAATATACGTGTTCGGGCGGACGACCAGAGGTGTGGCAAACACGAGCTCGTATGTGTAAAGCCAGTAGTTTTATTTCTAGTGCTATTGTAGCACTGAACAGCATAGGGAAGAATATTGAAGGGATGTTCGTCGGGATTTTCGGATACATGGGATCTGATCATTTCCAATAAGGTGGCGTGAAATCGCTCAATCGAGCCATTGGACTGGGGATGACTGACACTGGAAAAAGTTAATTTAATGTCATAAAGACTACAAAGGTCTTTCATGAGGGCGTTGTCAAATTCTTTTCCGTAATCACAGTGTATTCGGAGAGGTGTACCATAATGTTGGAAATAGAAAAGTAGAGTATTTACTCAGATTTTGCAGATTTGTCGCTAATTGGATAGGCTTGAGAAAATTTTGTTAGCTAGTCTCGGATTGTGAGCGCGTAGCATTTAGGTGGGACTTCCAAAATGTCAATGTTGATTCTTTCGAACGGGGCTTTAGGGGTTTCAGTTACTACAAAAGGGGGCACTGAGGTTTTTACGACAATTTTGGTCTTTTGACAGATTTCACACTTTTTGATGAAATGCTCAACGTCTTTAGTTAAGCCGGGCCAATTATATCGTTCACGAATTCGCCTAATTGTTTCATTAATTCCTCGATGAATGTTTTTCTTACCACAATGGTATTGATCTAAAATGACGGGGATTTCATCGGGACTAGGAGTTTTGGTGACGTTTTGGCAAACGACAAGTTGATATTATCATCCGAAAAAATAAAAGAGAAAATTTCTAAAATGGGTAAGTCCAAATTATTTTCAACGTAGATTTGTTGGGATAGGTCGAATACACCTTTGTTGGTTAAAATTACAGAGAAAAGATAATAATAATAATAATAATCGTCTTTATTGACCAAAACATGGTACATTACATGGGGCGAGATTTAGCACCTGCTATTCCACCATCTAACCCGATGATGATGCTGTATGCAAGTTACGGGATCGTATGGCACAGGAATAATATAGTATTTTCTATCTTTAATTGTTTTGCTAGACGCGATGTTAATTTTATCTGCAGAAAAATCAAGATTTTCCTCGAATATGTCTTCGATAATTTTTTCGTGAAGATCAGATAGAGTGTTTTGTCTGAAAAACGTGACGATATGTTTATGACTTTTGTCTAGGAGTTGGGAATTTGAAAATTGAATTTTGGAATAATCGATCAGGATGTGGTTTTGTAAAGGCGGGCAAAGATATCAAATTCACTTTCGGAAAATTGGGTAGAAGGTTCTCCTTCTTCGTCACTATGGGTAAGGGCGTTAACAGTTTTGGGTAATTTGATACGTGATAGGGCATCGGCATTTTTGTTAGCCTTGCCTGGCTTGTACACTATTTCATAGTCGTACTCCTCTAGCTTGAGGCGCCATCTTGCTAATCTACTTCCGGTGTCTCGGCAAGAGAAAAGCCACGTAAGGGGTCTATGGTCTGTTACGAGTTTAAACTTTCGACCATACAAATAAGGTCTAAAATGTTTTACACTCCAGACAATAGCTAGAAGTTCTCTTTCAATGGTGGAATATCTCGTTTCTGCTTTACAAAGTGTACGAGATGCGTAGGCTATCGGGAGATCTTTACCTATGGGACCTTGGGAAAGAACGCCAGATATCGCAAAAGCGCTTGCGTCTGTTGTAAACACAAAAGGCTCTTCAAAGTTGGGGTAGATCAGTATAGGAGATGTTGTTAAAGCGTTTTTTAAAGTATCAAATGACTTAACACACTCGCTATCAAAGTCAAATACTGCGTCTTTCTGTAATAGTCTGGTAAGAGGTTTCGCAATTTTGGCAAAGTTTGGTATAAAGCGTCGGTAGTAACCTGCAAGACCTAAGAAAGATTCTATTTCTTTAGGATTCTTGGGTTGAGGGAAATTTTTTATGCAATCCACTTTATCTGGATTGGGCTTAACGCCATCAGGGGTTATTACATGACCAAGATAGGCTACTTCCTTTCTGAGGAATTCGCACTTATCAGGCTGGATTTTGAAATTCGACTTCCGAAGACGCGTAAAAATTTCGGTAAGCCTACTGATGTGTTCTTGGATGGAGGGGAATAGACAATTATGTCATCCATGTATACAAGACATCTTTCGTTTTGTAAACCCATCAAGATGTTGTCCATGACACGTTGAAACGTGGCAGGAGCGTTCTTGAGACCAAAAGGCATCCTCAAGAATTGGTAATGTCCGTTTTCAACTGAAAATGCAGTTTTAGGAACATCAACTGGATTTATCTCGATTTGATGAAATCCAGATGCCAAGTCCAGTGTACTAAAGTACTGGCATTTCCCTAATTGATCAAGTAGATCGGAAATGTTTGGCAGGGGATATTTATCATCGATGGTGATTTCGTTAAGCTTACGATAGTCAATCACCATACGCCATTTCTGTTTACCAGAGGCGTCCATTTTCTTTGGTACAACCCACACCGCAGAATTCCATGGCGATGTGCTAGGTCGATAATACCTTGTTTTAGTAATTTTGAAATTTGATCTTTGACTTCTTGCTTGTGGACATAAGGGTATCGGTAGGATTTGGTAAAAATTGGTTTACTGGTAGTGGTATCAATGGAATGCTTAATTTCGTTTGTAAATGACAGGCTATCACCATCTAAATAGAATATGTCCGAAAAATCTAAACAAAGATTCGTAATTAAATCTTTTTCCTCTTCGTTGAGATGATCGAGACGTAATTGATCTCTAATAACATCTCTACGGTTATACTGACTTTGATTTTGTAAAGAAGTGTTGAAATTATTGATAGAAGTTTCGTTAAAGGGCTCGAAAGTTAATTGGGGTAAAATTACATTTTTTGGAATGGCATTACAGTTTAATACTGTAGTAAGGAATTCGCCTTTAGAATCAATTTTAACTATGGAACTGGGTAGACGGACTTTTTCTACCTCACACGCCAGAAGAATGGCTTCAGTATTTCTAAGCTCGGATTTGAGCTTGACAACTTGTTCAACTCTGGGAGGAATGGAAATAACATTTTGAACTTGAGAATTTTCTTTAAATTGCGAAGCTTGGAACTTTTCTTTAAATTGAGAAGCTTTGGAATTATTTTCGTCACCTACTTTGAAAAGAGGGACTGTTTTGAAATTTGTAATCAATTGACGATTTTTCAAATCAATAATACAATCATAATGTTCAAGAAAATCTGACCCAAGAAGGCCATCGAATGAAATATCTAGATCATGGACATAAATTTTGTGATAATCATTGGGAGCAAATGGGACTAAGACTGCTTCAGTAATACTAATTTTTTCGTCAGTAATACCTCGGATAGAGATATTTTCTGCGACACGATTAGTATAATTTTGCCAAGTGTTACGTTTGAAAATGGAGCAACCTGCACCGCTATCAATGAGAATTTTGAATTTTCCAGTAGCATCTTTAATGTAATATAAGTTGTCTGGGCTAACTGGGTGAATCGTCGACGGGACTATAAACGGAGGGTTTATATAAACATCTGATCGCATGTGTTGCTGACGCTCGCACACGGTTTCGGGTTCGGGTCCTCGACACTGAGATTCGCTAAGTTCGCCAACAAATGTATCGGCGGTTTGATTATATTCGTAACACTAATCGTTACTGGGTTCTCTAAAATCATCGTATGGGGAAGGTGTGTAGGCGGAGTACTGGGTATCGTCATATTCATTAGCGTAGTCCGTGTTGTATAGGTCTGGTTCACCGTAGTCGGAATAATCGTAAGAATCAGAGGCGACATAATTAATTCGATTGGGAGGATTTTGTCTAAAATTTCTTTGAAAATTAGGGTTTTGAAAATTTGGATTGCTCTGAATTACAGAGGGTCTTGGCGCACTCGAGTTAGGCACATTTGGTCGTATTACAGATGGTCTGGGAGGATATTGATTAGAATTTTGATGGTAGTTAGACGTAGATGGTCTAACTTGCATAGGTTGATTCGGCCTAGGGTAATTTTGAGGTTGGGGCTGGTTAAACTGTCTTGGGGCAAAGCTTGTAGGCTGTTGTCTCCGTTGGCATTCATTTGCCAAGTGACCGGGACGATTACAAAAATTACAAATTTTAGGGTTTGGTCTTCGAATAACTGAATTTTGATTCGGGTTTGGGGCCCTGGCGAATTTTTGTCGTTCCAAATATGAAAGTTGTAACTCTCGTTTGATATACGAAACTGCGGTCAAGATATCCGTGGGATGTCCTGATCGCACAACAGGTCCTATTTTTGAGTCTACTCCTGTTAATAGACAATTTAAAGTCATCGTTTCGATGAGGGAACTTTGAGCAGATTTTTGCTCGCGATTTAGATTTTGCCTATTCACGGCGGAATGCATTTTTTCTGCATGCGTCTGCAGTCTAGATGCAAAGGTTAGGGGTGATTCGTTGGGGAGTTGGCGCATGTGTTGAAGATCCGCGATTAAAGATGTGAGATCTCTAAGATCTCCAAAGTGCGTTTCTAACAGGGACCGTATGTCTTCCCACGTAGAAGGGTTTCGGCTGCACGTCCACGAAGTTTGTTTTTAATATGTAAAACGACGAGAAGCCGCTGCTCCTCGACGGCCATTTGATATGCCGTTCGGCACGCGTTGATGAAGGTCGATAGCAATATCGGGTTTCCATCGTACTCGGGTACAATCGAAAATATTTCAGATAATCTATAAGGTTCAATGTTCGCATGAACGTTATCAGGAATTTCAGCTGGTTGGTAATTATCTGAACCGTTAGTAGACATTTTAAATGGAAAGTTGTTTCAAAAAGATTCAATAATGTTAAGGGAAAATGCAAAAAGATATAAATGTAAAATAGAAAAATACGTAAAGATGGGGAAAAATACGTGAAAATCGACAATATATAGAGTAAATGCGCAAAAATGCAAATAAAAAGTTGTAACAATCACACACACAGAGATAAATCGCAAAAAATAGTTAGATTAAAATTGTACGTTACCAAGGGTACATCGGGAGGCAGTCGTGTTCTCCAGGCGGCTAGTGGATCTCTTGCGATGTCTCCAGTAGTCTGTCTGCAGTTGGGTGGCTGCTGCTCGCTGTGTCCCCTGTTGTTTTCTTTCTTCTTGTTGCTTTGTAGTTTCTTACTTGTAGTTTTCTTTCTTCAATGGGTTTCTTTCTTCTTAAGGCTCGTTGGTCCTTTTCAGCTTAAAGGATAGGCATCCACCACACTAGTTAGTATGCACGTGTTCTAATGCGTTGAAGCTATCCCACTTCTGACACCAATTTCTTAAATCATTAGATTTAGAAATAACTTTTTAAAAATTTATTTGAGGACTGAACCTTCAGTCCATATAAAATACAAAGGTTTACAAATGTGACATTTACGGAGTCTAACCGGTTATTGAACATAAAGTTTACATAAGTGACTGTTACGGTGCCTAGCCGGGTAATGAACGACATGATTTTTTTTTTTTTTTTATTTTTTTTTAACGAGGGGGGAATGCATTTACGCACCATACCATAGCACGAGCTACGGCGTGTGTGGGGCTCCAGGGTCTTGAGGAGATCACCTAATACCCACTAAACCCTAAACCTCCGCGTGGCCCGACTCATCAGCGTCTCGGTAGGCCATGTGTTGTGCGTGACCTGCGGTCTGCTACAACGTCTCCTCATGTGTTTCAGTCTCTGGGAACGCCGGGTTGGTTCCCTTTACCTCGCACATTCTATCGATGTCGTTAAGCGATCATCGATAGAGGGTCTGCTAGTTTCTCTTGAAACTCTTGTTTTCGAAAAATCAAGAGTTTCAAGTCCTCTTACCAATATGTTGTTCCTGGTCCTGGTCCTGAAGGGTCCTGGTCCTGGTGGGTCCTGGTCGTGGCGGGTCCTGGTCCTGGTTGGTCCTGGTCCCGGTGGGTCCTGGTCCCGGTGGTTCCTGGTCCTGCATCCACACCGTGGGGTGGGGGGGGGGAGCAGCCGCAAGTTCTCCTAGTCTCCTAGTCAAGGTTCCAGTTAGCGGGTGCCAGCTGAGACCTTGGTCTGGGATACTTGGTTCTGCGGTTGCGAGGCCTCTCGTCCGGATCGTAGTCCATGAGGAATCGTAGCTGCTCGTTCGGGTGGTCCTGAGCTTTCTCGAAGGTCTTCTCCGCTTTTTTCCTTATGTACTCGTGGATGGTATCCCAATGCAGGTCTCTACGCAAGGTTGAGTTCCTTACGTAGGAAGGTGCATTGGTGGCGATCCGGAGTAGCTTCATCTCTAGAGCAGCAAGTCGCTTGCGGTAGCTGGGGGCAGCGTACCCCCAGACCGCGGAGGCGTAAGCGAGCTGAGGTCTGGCGATGGCCTTGATCAGCCGTAGCTTGGTCGCTAGCGGCATCTGGCTGTGTCTACCCAGTAATGGATAGAGTTGAGGCATGGCTGCTCTGGTTTTTGCGATGACAGCTTCTATGTGCGCTTTCCAGGTGAGGGACTTGTCAAAAACGATCCCCAGATATTTGACATTGTCTCTCCACTGGATATCTTCGTCGAAGATGGATGCTTCGAGAGTTCTTGCAATCCTCCTTCGTTGAATGAAGATTGCCTGCGTCTTCTGGACGTTGATGCGGATTTTCCATTTCACGCACCAGTCCTGAATTTGGTCCAGTTCACCATGTAGTCTCCTACGGATGATCTCGGGTCGTCTATGCTTGGCGGCTATAGCAGTGTCGTCTGCATATAGGGCCAGCATTGTGTCAGCTGTCTTCGGCACATCGTAAGTATAGATGTTGTAGAGCAGGGGGGCTAAGGCTGACCCCTGGGGCACGCCTGCTTCCAGCTGTCGTCTTGTTGAATGGCATGTACCAGTCTTCACCGTGAACCATCTTTGTGTTAGATAGCTCTGGATTAGTTGGCACATGTTCGCATCGATTCCGGCGGCTTCCATTTTGGCGATGAGTCCATCGTGCCAAACTCGGTCGAAGGCTCGTTCCACGTCCAGCAGGACGAGACCGGTTGCCTCCTGGAGATTGAAGCCGCTGGTGATGTTTTCTGTCAGTCGTAGCGCTTGGAGTTCCGTGTTGTGCGAGGATCTGAAGCCGAATTGCTCTGGGGGGAGAAGTTGCAGTTCTTCTGCCTGCTTCTCTAGTCGAACGGCGATAGCCTTTTCGACTACTTTGCCCATCGAGGAAACCAGGCTGATGGGCCGGTAGTTCTGGGGCAACTTCCGGTCCTTGCCTGGCTTGGTGAGCATTATAACCTGGGCTTCCCGCCACCGCCGCGGGAAGTGGTTAAGTCTCAGGGTGGCATTGGCGATGTTGGTGAGCGCAGCAATGCCTTTGGTGGGAAGGTTCTTCAGCATCCTGTTGTTGATGCCGTCCCTTCCCGGCGCCTTTCTGACCTTCAACCTGCGGATGATCAGACGGATTTCCTCTGGACTGGAGGGGTGATCCATCTCCTGGCCAGGTGGTCGACTCCTCATGTTTTCAGCTGCGACTTCCACGGCCTCCTCGTGGTTGTCGTCCTCGTCTTCATGGTAATTGAGTCTGCATTCGGATTCTAGCGAATCGGCGAATGCTTCGGCTTTTTCTTCACTGGAGTAGGCCAAGCCGCGTTGGCCGTGAAGAGTGGGGATCGCGGTGCGCTGACGACGAAATTTTCGCTGCATAGACCAGGCCGTACCATCCTGGGTCTCTAGTTCTGCACAGGCTGCATTCCATCTGCTGTTTTGGAGTTCCGCGAGTGCGTTCTTCAGAGCTAACGATGCTCTGTTTCGCGCAACTCTCGACTCCTCCGTCAACAGCTGGAGATGTTCTCGCTTGAGTCTTCTGTTCTCCCTGATCAGGTGCCTAATATGGTGCGGTGCTGGACCATTTAGGTGTCTAGGAACTGCCGTAGTCTCGGAGCGGGTGCTGTCCTCGTGCGCTCGCAGGACAGCATTCTCCAGCTCCTCTACTGCGTTGTCCAGTTCCTCCGCTGATCGGATGGTTGGAATTTGAGTGATGTTCCTTTGGACGTTGGATTTGTACAGGTTCCAGTTCGTCCGTTTGGTGCTCAAGCTATCTCGAGTTCTAGACCCTGTGCCAAGTGTTAGTAGAATCGGATTGTGGTCCGACGATCCTTCCACCAGGGTCTCTATCTCGAACTCCTCTCTGATGTTGCGGAGGATGGCTATGTCCAGTACCGCAGGTCGCCCAAGGCCGAATGGAATGTAGGTTGGTTGCTCGGACCGACGATGACCCCCGCCAGGGCATCGACGTGTTCCTGGAGCTGCCTTGCATTCCTGTCTTCGACGTTGTTGTTCCATGCCGGAGACTTGCAGTTTAGATCTCCGATGACTATGCGTGCTCCTGGGCCTCTCAGGAGGTCAGCGATGTCATCTTCGTCTAGGGCCTCCCCTGGTGGCACATATAGGGAGGTGGAACGACATGAAATGGGCGCAAGGCCTATTTATACTATTGGTGTGCTTACAAAGTACTTCTAGAAAATAAAGCGTAAACAACGAGTTAGCGAGAAGTCGTTATCTGTTGCTGAGCTAGCGTCTGGTGCAACATTGTATGGAATAGTAAGTCCATTGTTTTGAGTGCATATAACATATATATATATATATATATATATATATATATATATATATATATCTTAAATCATTAGATTTAGAGATAACTTTTTAAAAAATTTTATTTGAGGACTGAACCTTCAGTCCATATAAAATACAAAGGTTTACAAATGTGACATTTACGGAGTCTAACCGGGTATTGAACGACATGAAATGGGCGCAAGGCCTATTTATACTATTGGTGTGCTTACAAAGCACCTCTAGAAAATAAAGCGTAAACAACGAGTTAGCGAGAAGTCGTTATCTGTTGCTGAGCTAGCGTCTGGTGCAACATTGTATGGAATAGTAAGTCCATTGTTTTGAGTGCATATAACAACTTCCCCCTATTACAAAAAGTTGTTGCCATGCGACAACTTTTGACAAAATTAGAAAAGTGTAAAAGATGTAAAAATTCAAAAATGTAAAAATGTAAATAATTGTAAACATTGTAAAATATAAAAATATAAAAGTAGGAGTAATAAAATTGCAAAATAATATCAGAAAATATAGATTCTGAAAAATAAAATTGTTAGCATAAATGCGGTACATTGGCGATGCAAAATAACATCTAAAAGCAAAGCTGGAACAAACAAATAATAAGATACAATCGTACAGTCGTAAAAATCACATGGAAGATAACACGAAAATTGGAAATGTCTTTTTGAACAGTGAAAACACTTCACGGAACACTCACTGCAGTTCGA